ACCTCACGAAATAAGTAAAATAACGTTTAAAGTAGTGGTATTTCACTTGCGTCGTAAGGCTCCCACTTATTCTACACCTCTCAAGTCATTTCAGAGAGTCGAACTAGAGTCAAGCTCAACAGGGTCTTCTTTCTCCGCCGATTCTTCCAAGCCCGTTCCCTTGGCTGTGGTTTCGCAGCAATCACATTGCGTCAACATCCGTTGGGACCATCGCAATGCTTTGTTTTAATTACACAGTCGGATTTCCCTTGTCCGCACCAGTTCTGAGCCGGCAGTTTGATGCTTAGGGAGAGTCCCACGGCCCCACGCGAAAGGTGGGGACATAAGACATTCTACACCCGTCGGCACACTGGCACGAGGGCTCCGCCCTCACCGCGAGAGCAGCTTGGGCAGACCACTGGCAGCCAACGACATCGAGGCGCAGACCCGTAGGCCCATTCCTCAGAGCCAATCTTTTTCCCAAGGTTACGGATCCATATTGCCGACTTCCCTTACCTACATTCTTCCTTTCACCAGAGGTTGTTCACCTACGAGACCTGATGCGGTTATGAGTACGGCCGGGCGTGAGAGGTAYCCGCAGCTCCAGATTTTCAAGCGCCGTCGGGGGCGCGCTGGACACCACAGGACGCGCGGTGCTTTGCCGGGCGCTGCACCCTATCTCCGGTTGATCTGATTCCAGGGTGGGCGAGCCGTCAAGAAGGAAAGAGAACCCGCCCCACGGCCCCAGCCGGCATCTCCGGAGCTGCTTACGTTACCGTCCACCTCCACAACCCGGTTCGGGAATATTAACCCGACCCCCTTTCGATGTGCGGCGCGCAGTGCGCCCTTGATACAAGGTTTCCACATCTCTTAGGACCAACTGACCCATGTCCAAGCGCTGTTCACATGGAACCCTTCTCCACTTCGGTCTTCAAAGTCCTCATTTGAATATTTGCTACTACCACCAAGATCTGCACCGGGACCCGCTTCACCTAGGCTCACGCTCCAGGCTTCGCAGCAGGCCCCGCGCCCTCTTACTCGTCGCGGCGTCATAATCGCCGCGACGGCCAAGCATAGGTCGCGCGCTACAGCGCCATTCATTTTCGGGGCTGATTGATTCGGCAGGTGAGTTGTTACACACTCCTTAGCGGATTTCGACTTCCATGACCACCGTCCTGTTGTCTGTATCAATCAACACCCTTTGTGGTGTCGGGGTTAGCGCGCAGTTTTTGGGTAGCTCGACTTTCGGTTCATCCCGCATCGCCAGTTCTGCTTACCAAAAATGGCCCACTTGGAGCTTTCATTGATCCTCGGGGTTCGCTTAAGCAACCCCGAAATCTTACCTATTTA